CATCCACACTGCATTTTCGCAGGAAATGCAAATTTTTCTAGTGAAAACTGCTTCTTGTGTGAGCACAGTCGTCCTCTTATAACCTGTGCTCTTACGAGCACGATGCATACTTCACGCGCTGTGGTAAGTGACTTTTCATTATATTCTGTTTGAAAGTCATATTTCATTTTAGGAAGTCTGAACTCGCAGTGTAAACATTTACGTACATGTGAACCACCTGATAAGGCTCTATTAGATTTACTGTGTGTAAGTCTTGAGCCACCTCTTATTTTTTAAAAACGCGCTTGTACGAGTCAATCTTTTTTCTCTCACTCTGAACTCTCTTAGACAAGCTTTCTTGTCATTTCAGTGATTTTCAGCCCAGTTCTTGTGTGATCTGGCATACCTCAGCCTTTTCTCCCTGCTTTCCTAACTAAAGAATGGCTACTTGACACCCCCATATTTCTAAAGGGTATGACTTTCAGACACTGTACCACTTCTTCTTTTGTCCAGTTCCTTTAAATGTTTTAAGGACACACAGGGATAGGTCAGTTTTTTTACTTAATGGCTCTCAGAGAATCACCTCGTTGATGCAAAAATACTATTTTATACGCGTTTTCTTTGCCATGAAATTGGTTCTTTGTTAAGTTGTCAGTTATGAATCTGTTATTTCATTGTCCTTGGAAGCAAAATGTAAAGAAATGAGGGGTTGTCCAAGACTTTTGCACTGTACTGTAGGATGCAGGTGGTGTTAATATTTTATTATGTATATTATATGGTATCCTCAAACTTGTTGTAAGCAACTGAATTTAATTTTGTTGACTTTTTTTCAGGCTCTGGTAAAAAATCTCCTCATCCTAAGCCAGCTTTTTCCACTGGTGAAGACCATAAATACAAAATTTTTACCATGTGACACCAATCTGAATGAAACTAAAGTTGACTGCAGTGACAGACCACTCAAGCACGTCCCCTTCATTAAGGCTACATCTGTAGCTTACATAGATTTAAGCCGGACTAAGATAAACCGAGTATGGCCGCATGCTTTCACAGGTGTCCCAAATCTGCATACTCTAAAGTTATCGGGCAACTGTCAGCCGGGCAGTCCGAGAGCTCTGGAAGACAGGTCTTGCAGAGTGAAAGTCTCCAGGTATGCTTTCAAGCCCCTACTAACACTGAAACATCTGGATTTGTCAGGAAACAGTCTTGCCTACATACCATGGTTACCAGCGAGCCTGGAAGTTCTTCATCTAGAGAACAACCAGATCTTCAACATTATCTACCCTCTAAACACTCCACATCTCGAAAAGCTCTTCCTCAGCAAGAACTGCTTTTATGCAAACCCGTGCAACCAGTCCTTTTACATCAGTGAAAAGGTTTTCCAAGAGCTCCCCAAACTGAAAAACCTCACATTAGGGTATAATAATTTGACAGCTATCCCTAAAGGACTGCCACTCTCACTGGAGAGTCTGGATTTAAGAGAGAATACAATCACAGAAGTCTTAGAAAAAGCATTTTTTAAAATGACTGCCCTGGAGGACTTAAATTTGGAGTGGAATTGCCAACGTTGTGACCATGCTGCAAGGCCCTGCTTTCCATGCCCACATAATCAGTCTCTAAAGCTACATTCAAACTCCTTTTATTCTGAAAACAGCTCCATTACCATCCTAAGTTTGAGGGGAAACTCTCTGAAAACATTTCCAAAGGACCTTTTCAGACCATTGAAGAAACTGAAAATATTGGACCTCTCTGACAACCTCCTGGCACATGCTATGCAAAATGGGACCTTCTTTAAAGAGCTAACAGGGGTCAAGTGGCTGAGCCTTATCTATAACTATGAACCACTGAAGACTTTTCCAGAACTTAATCTTTCCCCATATTTTAACAACATGTCTGATCTGCAATATCTTCTTCTGAGTGGCAACTTTTTCCTAAAATTTTCTGGTGAAAGCGTTGAAGTCCTCTCCAAGTTAAAAAGTCTAAGAGTTATAGAGCTGAGAATGAATTTCATTAACACTTTTAATATGACATTTGTCAAACAGTTACCCTCTCTAACTTCTGTTGACCTCTCCCAGAACATGCTTAATTTCCTTGAGTGCAGCTCAATTTCACGACCTGGGACTGTGGATGTAAACCTGTATGCAGGCTCTCTTCATAATCAACCTCTCACTCTAATGGATAGAGACGTCACATCTAGAAACAGTGTATGGGAAACAGACCCATTAAATGCTTTGGAAATGTTAGAAGACAGTGTGACAAATATCCCAACACTATTGGGCTTCCAGCACCGAGCAGATGTTCTGGACAAAAGATTTCCAGTGATTACATCACTGTGGGACTTGAGAAATTTTCATTGCAAAAATAAGCTGACATTTGACCTGTCTCAGAATGATATCGTGTACCTTAACAAACATGTGGTTTCAGGCATGGAGAATGCCATTTGTTTAGACCTTTCCTTCAATTACATGAACCAGGCACTAAGGGGTGGGGTGTTTGAAGGTATGACACATTTAGAGTTTCTTAATTTGTCTTACAATAGGCTTGATCTTTATTATAACGATGCTTTCAGGGAACTTAATTCATCTCTGAAGATATTAGATATCAGTAACAATGACTTTCATTTCAATATGAGGGGCATGGGCCATCGTTTTGAGTTCCTTGAAAATTTGAATCAATTGGAAGCTCTAAGTCTGGCAAACAATGCTATTGGGATGCGAATCAACCAAAGGCTGATCTGCAATTCTTTGAAGTACTTTGACTTCTCTGGAAATCACCTGAACATCATGTGGGACTCTGACAACAACAAGTACACTAATTTCTTCCAGAACCTGACAAATCTAACCTACCTGGACATCTCCAACAACCATTTAAAATCGCTCTCATCTGAAGTGCTGAGTAACCTCCCAAGTAGCCTTAGGGCTCTCATCGTCAGCAGCAATTCTCTAAACTATTTCCCATGGCTAAACATCTCTGCACTTACCAGTTTACATTACCTGAACCTGAATCACAACTTCCTTTACAAACTGCCAAATTATGCAGTAATATTTGGAGTCAATTTTACCTTCCTGGACCTCAGTCACAATCGGCTCAGTTATATTCCTGAAGATTTCTTTAATAACGCAAAGTCCCTAAAACATTTGTATCTCAGTCACAATCAGATCAAAGAGTTGAACCGGGAGCATCTTCCTGTCCTCTTTAAAAATGGCACTCGCCTTGAGAATCTCACCCTGCATGCCAACCCCTTCAAATGTGACTGCAATACCTCCTGGCTTGCTGACTTCTTGAGTACTACACCGGTACACATTCCTTATCTGACCACAGATGTACGGTGTGAATTCCCAGAGTCTCAGCAGGGTGAGAGCATACTGTCCATGGACCAGCGTTCTTGCCAGGACATATATGGTAGTGTAGCCTTTGTTGCCTGTTCATTTATGACTCTGGTGTTTACTGTTCTTCCTTTACTGAAGCACCTCTACGGCTGGGATATGTGGTATTGCCTGCAAGTGCTCTGGGCTGGACACAAAGGCTACTCCCAGATAGCTGGGACCGATTCGCATTATCAATATGATGCCTTTGTGGTGTTTGACACCAGTAACCAGGCTGTGAGGGACTGGGTTTACAACGAGTTAACTGTCAATCTGGAGAACTCTGGTCACAGGAGGTTTTGTCTATGCTTAGAAGAAAGGGACTGGATTCCTGGGCTGTCATGTATAGAGAATCTTCATAATGCAGTATACAGGAGTGTGAAAACCATTTTTGTGCTGTCCAGAGGTGTTAACGGAAATGTGAATGGTGTGATCCGCCAGGCCTTCTTCATGGTTCAACAGAGGCTTCTGGATGAGAAGGTAAAGTCGTAAAATCAGCCTGTATATTTTCACAAATTTTGTGGCTGTAACTTAACCCACAATCCTAAAATTATCCCTAATTCTGTCTCGAAAAGGTGGACGTAGCTGTGCTGGTTCTGATGGATAAGATTTTTCCCAAACTGAAGTACCTTCAGCTGAGAAAACGATTGTGCAGAAAGTCTGTGTTGTCATGGCCGCATCACCCATGTGCTCAACCCCTTTTCTGGAATCAAATGAGAATGGCGTTGTCATCAGATAACCTCAAATTTTATGACAACAACATGAGTGAAAGTTTTATATAACCTACTTTTACATGCTAGCAGAGACAATCATGACTTCAAAGATCTTCCTCCTTCATATCGCTAAATATTAACAAACTTGACCTTCCATTAACATGCTGTCACATACATTTGGTTGGTGTTATAATTTTATTAACTCTTCCATATATATGTTATACATATTGTTCTTATTCCTCTGTTGGTTTCTCTGGGACGTCATTTGTTGTTATTGTTATTATGATCATTTGGATGTATTAGCTTAAATTTTCTTGATTTGTTTTATTTTCCTTTGCCGAATCCAGTGGTTTACAACACCTGTATTTGTATTTGCAGAAAATAATATCAGCTTTCCTTTCCGTTATATTTTGTCAGACGGAAGAACTTTTGATTGCGTTTGTTTAGCATCTTAACCTGTAATTTACCCATTTTATTATATGTACTTTGCTCCACACGCTTAAAGTCATTCATTACTTTGTATGCAATCACGATGCGGGGGCGACACAATCCCATGGCATATCTGCTATAGGCTTGCGTGAATGCACACACTTTGGTGTACTGCTTATCAAATATAATATTTGTCTTCAGAGCACATTCACGTTTGGGTTGCAACAGGGAGGAAATGAAACCAGCACTTGTTGCAGGTTACAGATCACTAAGGACTTCATTATCACCTACTTAAATGATCTATTTTTTCTGTTTGTTTAATGAGAAAACAAAATCATGTCATGTTTTCATCGTCTCTGTACTCTAGCTTGGCGGGATCTCTTTTCTGAGACCGAACCAGGACCAAATACAGTTATAGTTACTCACTGTAATTTCTGGTTTATGGTCTGTTGAATGCAAAATAGGATCGTGCCGAACAGCTGCACTTCCCCGATACACTTCAGAGAGCTCCTAACTGCACTGTCACAAGGCACCACATTTGTATTCCAGAATAGCCCGGTTTTACCCAATCACATGGTGTGAGCTTAAATTATGTCTCTACATCTACTTCAAGCAAACTCACTTTTGTCTGTGTGGGCTCTTTTGTTTAAAAAACCCAACAATATTAAGTTCCAGCCGCTGTGTAGTAAAGGGAATTTCAGAGCTTTGGCTTGCGTAATACCTTCCAAGTACCATTCCCAATTCGTGATTCATAGGTATATGAAAAACAGGAAACCACCCAATCATGGCTCTTCGCGCTGCCCCACCACGGCTCTTCGTCGCGCACGCGCCAGCTGGGAGAGCGCGCCCGATGGCAGTACAGGTCATGAGCTGAGCTGCTGAGATCATGGAGCCTGCGCCGAGGTCGGACAGGGTACTGATGGGACTTTACAGTGATGGAGAGGTACCTGTACGGTAAGCTCGGGCAAACATTTGGGTGCGCACCTGGACTTTGTGGAATTATTAAAAAATAAATAATTCCGACATGAAAACATTATTTCAACAAATTAAACTGTGTGCTTTTAGTTTTAGCGGCAGATTAATTATTATGTAAGGTACGAGTCCGAACTCATGTAGCCGTGTGCATACGAGCAAGAAACTAATCCGTCATGCGGTGGTCATAGTAGAATTATGCTCCGTCTCTATCGAGGCTGCCCAATCACATGCACAGCGACAGTTTTACTCGTGCCACGCATGAAATACGGTTAGGTCTGCTCGGTAGTTTTTCCATTGAGGTGGCAGGATGTTGAGCTCCAGGAAAAGCCTTCCAAAGGACTGTAAATTATCATCCGGAACAACCGATCTATGCCGTTGCAGTTTGGGCGGTGATTCGACTTTTCTCTTCGCAGCAACAGCTGGCTGCAAACTGAGAAGTAAGTGCAGCGGCTTGTGGACCGAAATGAAGTGAGGCGTTGTCTACTTTATTTCAGAATTCCGCTCTTCCTTCATCTGTCCTTTCTCATTCTGCCGCTATGGTTTGACGTGGGAGCGTGCAGCGGCGTAAACTTGGCGCGTCTCCATGAATATGGACCAGTGACTTGTGATACCTCCATCTTAATGCGAATAATGCAAAAGGGCAAGGCTTATAATAGTAGCTTACCTTGAGTAGAATTTAGAATTGTTTAGAGCCTGTTTGTAATTTTATTATAATATCTAATTAATAGAATAACAATGTTTACTAATTATTGGCCACATTCCTCCACTGATATACCAGAAGTACACACAAATGGGTACCGCTGAAGGTTCATGACGCTAACTTCATTGTCTCCACAGTGGATAAGGGATTGACAGCTATGTTATGACTGACAAGAACACTTAGCCAATCGCTCAGTTGAATCCTGTGTAGTGAGTCCCAGCACCCAATCCTCATGGATTAGAGGAGGGATTATGATGTGGATTTGCCTCTGCAGATTTGCAGACAGGCCCCCATTGTGGACTAGGATGATGCTGGGGTGCACTTACTTTGATATGGATATAGTCTTAACATGTACTACGGTGTCTATTTCTCTCCAGTTTTAGCTGGAGCCTAAGGTACAGGTATGTTGACAGCCTAGCAAAGCATAGTGACAAATTTGCAATTGCACCTATGTTCACTGCAGATTACACAATTTTGTTTTCCCTGCAGGTTAGAATCCCAGCACTTTGCAATAACTAGAGTTAGTGCTGTCCATGGTGCTGAAATGGTCATACTGGTCCATCTTCCTTTCTTTTTAATATCCTTTCACCATCTACTGCGGTGACTGAGACTGTGGGAGGTTTTCTAAATATAATGAGCGAGAGTGTAGAAGTAGCCTGTAGTATACTGCACCACTAATGTGCAGTCTGCTTAGAGACATTTCTTTCCTGTCCTCACATTGTCACTCTCCCCTAATAAGGAAGAGCGAGGATTAGGGAGTACTTTAGCAATTGTAAGTCAAGTTGTAAAGCACTTTGGTCCGAACTCTTTTCCTGAAGAAGCACACTAATCCTGTACCTTTGTGTAAAAGGTTCTCTGGGGAATTAAATGTTTAATTTCTTTAAAATGTTCATTAAATAATTACCACAAACCATGAATTACATCAGCCTGGCTGTGACCAGAAGTACAGTTGACAGTATTGTTTGTTATATAGGTGTTGCTTCTAATGCTTGGTGTTGATTAGGTAGTTCTTGATTTAAATCATTGGTGTAATTTTATTTAGGTTGTACAGCTGCTTGTGTTGATGCAACCTTTAACTGCCAAATCAAATTGGTTTTAAATGATTTGTCTCACTTTCACCTTTTTAGAATCCATGATGTCCTGCACTGTAGCTGAAATTACAAGACCACTGACCTGTGTGTCTGGGAGACCTGCTGCCAACAGTGACTGCTGCTTTCCTCAAATAGGACTAAATAAAAGTCAGCCTCAAGCCCTAAACAATCAGTCATGGACAGGTGAAAACTGAGAGGCCAGTACGTGGCCTTTACTTACTCTGTTATCCACAAAGGACATGAGCATATTCTCAGCTTTAACAGTTTCTTTTCAGATGTTGTATTTTGCCATGTAAAAAAAGAAGAAGATGCCTTTAAATATTAGAGCCAAGCCCACACAGAGCAAGCTTTCTGCTGCTGCAAAAGGTAGTGGGCACACCGATGGCAACTCATCTCATTCACGTTTCTCAAGGTCCCCTAAACACGGGAAAGGCAAACAGGCTGTAAGCTCAGCACCAGGGGCCCGTTCAGGGTTAGAACCAGGCTCTGTGTCAGGAGGTGTGCCTGCAACACCATCTAAACTGACTGGGGGACAAGGGTCAGTGTCAAGGCCAGGTTCAAAAATCAAAGCTGAGCCAGAAGCAGGCAAAGGGTCAACGCGTGGTTCAGCGACAGCACCAGGGGGTAAAACCTTGTCTATGGAGAATATTCAGTCTTTGAGTGCTGCATATGCCACATCAGGTACTATGTATCCCAGTGAGCGGGAGTCCTTGGAACCCTCTGGTGGGTACCCCAAAGGCACCATGACACTAGGTAGAAGTACCAGCCGCTCCTCCTACACTGGCCGGACGACAGCTACGGGAAGCAGCCCAAACATCACATCTTCTGGGATGCATCACTTGTCAGATCCTTGTGGAGACCAGAGTTTTCTTTCTGGAGGGACTTCTAGTTTACGGCGGCAGTCTGGAAGACTCACACAGATAATGAATTCGACTGGACGTGGAGAGGTTTCCACATTTGATCTCCATTCTCAGCTGAGGGATCTGCAGAGAGAGAACAACAACCTGCGAAGAGAACTGGAAGGAGGTAGGGATGGAAGGACAGGCCCCAGCATGAACAGCGTCAACTTTTGGAGCCCAGATGTAAAGAGAGAAAAGGGCGTGAGGCGAGAGGAGGGAGCGAGGAGCTCCATTGTGAAAGACCAGCACAGGACAAACCAAGAAGATTTGCAGGTGAGCTTGTTTCAAAAATAGCTGCATAAATAAAACAGACATTTTCTCCACTAAACACAACACGGCGATACTATTACTTCACATTTAAGGTTCTCAGTGTAACACCCATAAAACTGTTGCTGTTATTGATGGTGAACGTCTGTCAGTCTTGCTTGTGGCTAGTGTTAGCACTTGCCAAATCAGCAATGAGACATACAGGACGCAGGTCTACACTGACGTGTTGGCTAATTGCCCCTGCCTTCCATCGCCCACAGCTCGTACTGCAGAAAGCAATTTTTACTTAAATCTTTGGTTTGTACTGTTACATGATTCAGTATTGGCTAAATTCAACACTGTTTAACATATTATATAAGCTTGGGTCATATTAGCTGCTGAAGTCATTTGGCAAGATAGGAAACTAGCATTTTATAATTTGTTAGCTGTAATGCAGGGGTGTCAAACTCAAATCCTAAGTGGGCTGGATCGCTAAATGTCAGGCCAGGTCAGATTTGACCCTTTGTCAGGTCATTTAGCTGTAACGTTAGCAGGGTGACAAGCACAGGTTAGCCAGCTAGCTTTAACTTAACTGCATGAATCTGTAATGCTAAGTTTGTAGCATGACCTTATTTAAGCCACAAAACCAGACAGGGGTCCCATGAATTAAATGCCATGCCTCAGTCACATCCTCTTTTGGCCAAGGTTACTCGAGCTTTCTTATTAGGTAATCATTTAACACTGGCTGACCTGCTAACATGGATTAATTACTAGCTATGTTACAGCGGTCCAAAATCTCGCTGACAGAGGTGACTCAGAAAGTCTGGTAAGGTTGTATGTTTGAAATGATGTTACAAACTGTTCAGACATTGGCATTAAAAAGCATTAAAAAGTCAGTCAACAGAAGCCTGCAAATATCTGTTACAGTAAATGCTGCATTTTTGATTTTACTGAGGTCTTAGTTCTTTAAAATGACACTCTTTAAAAAGCCTGAATGGAGTGTCTGCTCGCACACTCCATTGAGGCTCTTTGTGCTGACCCACCCATTTCCTCTGCATATCATGCCCCTCACTTCACTTCATACCTTTTGTTTCTGACTTCAAGGTTGCACTGAAAGGCGTCTGTGCGGTTCATTTATAATGATGTTTGCGAGGCTCCCTGTGTTACCATGGGAACGTGCACTAGTGGCATCCACTCCAAGTTTCTAAAAACCCTCACATCTACTCCTGAAGAGACAGTGACTAGTCCTGTCCTGTGTCACCTGTCCCTGGAGTGTGGTCCATTCAGTTCGAGGCATTATCCATTTGTCTGCCTCACTGAACAGCTACTGGATCGTATCTATTATCCCTTCATCTGAATTCTTTATGTTTTTCATCCTGACAGTATCTCCATTTGCTTTTTAAGCTTTTTTTCCCTTCACGTGTCTGTTTTTCTGATGGAAACACCTTAAAAGTCGTTGTATACAACATGAAACTCATCTAGAGTCTCTCACGCTAAGAAATCGCTGTAGCAACTCCACTCCCAGATTTTTGTATTGTTCTTTGAACCAAGCATGCAAAAACCTTGATCATATCTTCCATGTCTCCCATCTGACTCCTCCTTCTTGTAACCAAGGAGCCACCTCTGCATTCATATTTATAGCTTTTTTCATCGCACATTGTCACAGAGTGTGAGGACACTGTGACACATACACGCACACCTACACACGCATACACACATTCTTCTCACTTCGAAAGCAGCAAACTTTATAAAATAAAGCAGACTGTGTTATTTGCACAAGTCACGCTGCAGCACCCTGCCCTCAAGTGAAGCTCGTAGAAGTTAATATAAAGAAAATGCTCATTAGCTGTTTGCTGGAGCAAACCTTTGGGCTTGATCACGCCCTGATTTTTAATTTGTACAGTATTTTTCTCGTGAGCGCAACAATAACTTTAAAAAACCTGTCGCCTTGTTCTGTCTTACTCTTACTTGCGCTGTCCCCGAGCAGCTACTGATGCACACACCTAGTTAAGCTTTACCTCATCACAGTTTTCAGTCCTGACTAGTTATGAAATTCCTCTTTTTTGTCTCTCCCTCTTGACCTTTACTATAACTCATAAGGCTCACAGCCCACATAAAATATAACATGTAAAATCTGAAAAAGACTTCTTTTAAAAAAACCTGCTTTTAGAGAAAAAAGCAGCTGTATCACAGGGAAGATGTTATTCTTAAGCTTGCTAATCTCCCATATCGCCTCCGTCTCCCCTCCCTTCTTTCAGCCTGTCACTTTCCACCTCTTTTTTTCTTCATTTCCCCCGGATATTTTCTTTCTTTCCTTTTTGCTCTTTGAGAGACTGTGGAAAGAGTTCAGTCTGGCATGAGAACTTTGTTATTAGCATAAGGAATGTCACCTCTTCTCTCAGCAGCAGTGACCAGTTTTGTCCCCTAACCATCTGCCTGTTTTGCTTATGTTTGCGTTGGCTGCGTGTTTGTGTGCGTGCGCAGTTGCACGTGTGTATTTGTATCTTGGTTGTGTACGTGTTTGTGTGTAGGGCTCTCCTCCCACTCCGACTTAATATTCAATGCTTGTTGTTGCATTGATTATCTGTGTTCACCCTCGGCTGCCTCCTACGTCTCCACTCCGTGTCCTTGGCTCCATGCACCTCCTGGACTGGAAAAAAGAGCTTCGAATAATTGAGTAAAATAAGTAACACCTTCACACTGATTAGAAGATTGTAATTTAACTTTCTGATAAATCATTGTCTGAATTTTGTAAGTTGCTGTTTGTGTGTGTGTGTTTATTTAGACTATACTTTTGTTTGAGCACAGTTACAATTTCATGTGTCTTTTTAAGCACTGATTGAATTTCCAATCAAAAACCAGGAAGCTATAAAAGCAAACGAACAGAATATATTCTGTGTTCTTTTGCCTCGTGTGCTGCAAAAGCAGGAATGTCAAAAGAAATTGGTTGCCCCCAGCAACACACGGACATTTAGCGGTTAGTTGTTAAAATGGTAAATATATTGGCGTATTGGTTAGTCATTGCAGCGGAGAACCTCCGCAGCCTTACGGTTATGAGTCAAGTTCAGCAAATTTTGTTTAAACCCACAGAATTTATTTGAAGTTCCAGGTTAAGCCCTGCCAAGGTTTTAGATGCATTTCCATTCTTTATCGTGAAGAATTAAAAAATATATTTATGAGCCTATAAAGGTTCCCCCAGTTGTTCTATTGATTTTAGCTGAACGTTAAAGGTTTTCAAGGTCTCAACCTAAAAGTCAAATCTTGGACAATTATATGAAATGAATACAGGATTTTTGTTAATAGTAATGATAAGAAGAGAAAGAAGATGAAATCACTTCACAAAGACACAACTTTTTGTTTTCTTGCTGTCTCTGTGTTGCAGTCTGTTATCATATACTCACAACTTCACAAACCTTTGAACTTGGGAGGAGTAAACTTACTGTTAATTTGAAATATGGATGCTGACTCTCTTTAGGTCATTTTACAATATTCATAAATGTGTTTACATCAGTTGATTTTTTATTTCTATGGAATTCCTTCGTACTTGAAACTCTTTCTCAATCCTGTTGCTCTACTTGCAAGTAGCACAAAAGGAGCTTTTGTGTTCTCCATGTGCTTTGAGGAGAAAACCCGACCCCTTGTGGTCATAGTGTGTAACTAATCTCCAAGAGCTTTGTGAATTAAGATGTCTAAATGAATCTAGCGAATGGTTATTTGTTCCTACCATGTCTCACTTTTGGCTTCTCATGTGTCTTTGTGTCTTACATCGTCTCTCTCTGCTGCAGCCTGGGAATAACAGAAGAAACAAGGTCTGTCTTCATATACCGTCCCATACTTTACATATGTGTGTTTTCACATGTTGTGCAGATTTGCTCATGTTTATTTAATTATTGAATAAATGGGAACTTTGTCTTTTATAGCAGCTTCCTTTAACAGTTCAGGAGCTTCAGGAGGAGCTGAGGGCTCATAGAGAGATGAACAGTCGCTCCCAGCAGCACCGTCAGCAGGGGAACTCCTATCGAGAGCTCCATATGGACCAGGACCTCAGAGGGGGACTCAGCCCTGGCCACAGTCCCAGACAAAGCCCCAGCAACCTGCAGAGTCCTGGACCAAAGAGCAGCCCTAGAGCCAGCCCATCCAACACCTACAATCCAAGGCAACAGGAAGCTGACATCATCATTCACAGCCCTGGATACGGCTGTAACACTGCAGTAGCCGCACAAAGAATCAGCCCAGCTGACACCCTTCAGCGTGGGCTGAGGAGCAGCCCAAATCAGCCTCTCTACAGTCCTAGCCAAGGTCCCGGGATTGTACCCAGCTCTGGTTCTCTTCACCCTTGTAGTCCCTGTCAGGTGCCTGGGTGTGACGGCTTTTCCTCACCTCCTCCCCTGGTTCCATCAGAGGAGAACTTCTTCCAACTGCAGTCAGAGCACGAGCGGCAGGCCAAGGAGCTATCCCTGCTGAGGAAGACCATGGAAGAGATGGAGATGAGAATTGATTCTCAGAAGCAGACGCTGGGCGCCCGGGACGAGAGCATCCAGAGACTGTTAGAGATGCTTCAAGGCCAAAGCCAAGGTCAAGGTCAGGGACACTGGGGACGGGGACAGCGGACAGGCATAATAACCATGGCAGCACAGGAGGCTGAAGCCCAGCTGGAGAACGTGCATTTGAGAGAGGTACACTTTTTCCTGCTGATATTTATACACATCTGAACCATTCATCTGCACTGTCAGAGCAACTTTAAGAGAAGGCTGAGCATTATGCACTTTACACTTTAGTGTAGAATTCTCGCAGGTTGAATCACGGTACTCGGTTGAATTTCCTGAATTGATTTAACAGTCACTGAGTCAAATATCCCTCATTACCAAATGAAAATCCTTGGCAAGTTAAGCCACTGTATGATCATATGCATATCATAAAACATTAACACAGCATGTCATTTTCAACACCAAAACATTGTCTGTTCTGTCTGTTCTGTAGGGTTTTAAAAACATTTTCACTTTAAAGCTGATGCTAAACTATTTGTGTTGCTAATGTTAATTGATGAGATTACACACTTGACTTAGGTGTGCGTGCACGCCTAATCTGTATACATTTGTGTCAGTTTCTATGTATTAAGCAAAATGTGGGAGCAGGAATCAGCTCAGCAGGTCTTATCAATGGGCCAGATTAACATACGGCGAGCTCTAAGCCTGCGTTGAGCCATGCAGTTTTATAATCTGTGTGTACGTGTGTCCTCCTGAGTATACTCATATGGTAGCTGAACAAACAACAGTTTCTGTGCTGTTTGCAGCATTTGATATTCATCTTTAATTCTGCAGCCCATGACTTGTTATGCCTTCAAATAAATACTTAACTAGATAAATCAAAATTGAGTTTAGCCTATGGAAAAACAAACACTTCTTCAGGTGCTCATACGTCTCTATTGCCCGTTGTTTCTTTTCACAATTAGAGTTTTATTATGTAGCAGCCCTGCAGCCACTGCTGGTGTAGCACAGGTGTATCGGTATTCTCTGCCATTAGGGGCAATACTAGGCTGCTCTGTGCTCCTCACTACTGCCTTATCTATTTTTAACTCCTAAATCTTCTTAGCCTTTAATTTCTCTACCTCTGTGTGTGTGTGTGTTTTATGTCGGTGCATGCTACCGATATTGCTTGTATCATTCTGTTCTTGTTTTTCTGTCTTTGTTTGTCTGCCTCTCTGCGTCTGCTGTGCAAACTCAAAAACAAAATTGTGTGTGTGTGTGCGCGCGCGTGTTCGTGTGTCTGTGAATGAGCATGCGTACACATCTGGAGCCAATCGGCTTAGTGTTTTCAAGTGAGAACACTCCCTCTCTGGGTGGCTGATGGGATATCCGCCCATTTGGTCACTGTGGTGATTTTGTTTAAGGGGAATGTGTGTGTTTCAGTCCATGCTAATGCAACCACTGCTGTGTATGTTTGGGTGTGTGTGTGTGTGTGTGTGTAATGTGTGGGACCTAACCATGCTGTGTGTGTAAGAGGTGAGTACCTGCTCACACACACTGCGTGCTGTGCTATTTTTAAGTACTGGACAGCTTAACATATGCTAGGAGGAGGAGGGGACATGTGTCAGGGAGAGAGGGAGAGAGGGAGTTCAGATTTTAGAAAGTAGAAAAACATGCTGTGTTTGTCTGAATATTAATGTATGATTAATGAGTGAAAACAGCCTGACCTCCCTGATTGAATAGAGAAGTGATTGTTCTCTCAGTTTCCCCCCCAAGTTTCCCAGTTTCTGGTCTCAATGTATATACATATATATGTGTGTGTATATATATGTATGTATATATATATACATATATATGTGTGTGTATATATATATATATGTATATATATATATATATA